GGTTAAGCATCCCTGGATTAAATCTCTAGTACCAAAAAAAAAAAAAAAAACCAAAACAAACAAACAAACAAAAAAACCCAAAAGTAATGTACTCTGTTTTCATTGAGTTAAAATCATATTATCATGGGGCATAGTTATTTCCATACCATTAGTTAATTTTTATTGTAGTTATAGATGGATACAATACCTTTATTTTATTTATCTTTTTTAAAAAATATGGACACAATATCTTTTCTTTCTTTATTTATTTTTATGTGGTGCTGAGGATCAAACCAAGTGCCTCACATGTGCAAGGCCAAGTACTCTGCCGCTGAGCTACAACCCCAGCCTCATATTTTATTTATCTTTATATGGTGTGGAGGATTGAACCCAGGGCCTCACACTAGCTAGGCTAGCACTCTACCACTGAGCTACAACCCTAGCCCCCCATTAATTAATTTTTGATAACATGTTTTTTGATGACTACATAGTATTTCAACACATCTAACTCCAATGGGTGGCCATGTAGTTTCCTGTATTTTTTTTTTTTTTTTTCTTGTACTGGGGGTTAAATGGCTTCTTGTTTTGAGCATTGTGAATGTATCTTGGCACACACCCCTGTTTATTGCTCTGGGGTAGACTCCTAGAAGTAAAAAGAAACAGTTCATCTGTAATGAGTTTTTTATATCAACAGGGGAACAAGAATAGAAAACACTTCAGGCTCCAGCAGCTTTACTGGGTATCAGACACATCATTGTATTTTCGTGTCTCTGGGACTTTGTGCATGTGGTTCCTCTTCTGTTCAGATCAGTCTTGAAAGATCCTATTGGGAGCTCTTCCTACCCTTATGCCACTGCAGGCAGAGGGAACCCCCACCATCTCCCAGGGGCCCCTGCACTGTGTGGGGCTTAGGGTGTTCTCATTTTGTAGTTATATATGGCTATGTCTGCTCAGCTGAGTCAGCTCCCCTACTGTGCTGAGGAATTCAATTTTCTACTCACATTAGCATTGCCTGCATTTCTGTGGTAGCCCACATCCTTCTGCATGGAGAAGGGACCAGGCTGAACCTTGGCCAGCCAAGCCCAAATGGCAGTCAGGCAGGGCCCTCTTCTTCCAGTCCCCCTTTTCCTGTTGCATTTCATCGCTGACCCACTCTCCAGTCCCTTCATTGGCTCCTCAGAATAACAGGACTGTGGTCCCTGCCCACTGACTTGTAGATGTGCCAGGGTCTCTGCTTTGACAGATCCTTAATTGGCATTTCTGACTTGGCCACCAGGATGTGACCTACTCTTTGTGGTCTATGCTCTTCCCTCTCTGGAGGGTGCCTCCGTTTCCTCCTTCAACCATTTACCCAGGGTGGCCCTGTGGGAAGAGAGCCAGGGCATGGCCCAGTTTGGTGCTGGAGACCTTGCTATATGTAATTTAGATCCAGCCATGTGGGGAGGGTATCAGGGGGACTTAGCCCAGCCAGGGTTGTCTCCACCTTGTTCTCCAAGAAATGCACTCCTCATGAGTTGTTAAGACAGCTTTGTGTCCCTACTCTTCCTTTCCAGGGACTTTGGTTTTAGACTTCGGGTATAAAAAGTTGTAGGGAATAAGGATTTACTTCTGCTTAGCCCTCTGATTTTACATTTCCTCTTTTTTTAATTCAACAAAGTATTGTGCTGAGGTTGGCAGATGATAGTAGGTAAGAATCTTTTGTGTCTTGGAAATACAGTCCTGTTGGATTGTGTGTGTGAGTGTGTGTGTGTGTGTGTGTGTGTGTGTGTGTGAGAGAGAGAGAGAGAGATTAGCACACAAATTAGAATGTCATGAGGAAAGTATAGGACAAGTATTACTAGATTTTTAAAAAAATTTTAGTTACATCTCTAAGAGTTAGACTTTGAGAAAAATTACAGTTCCATCATCAAATTAAAAAATTAACAATTTAATAGTGTCCTTCATTAGTTTTCAAAATGTCTTATAAGTGTTTTTTTTTTTTTTTTTAATAGTTGACTTGCTGGAATCAGGAGCCAAAGAAACTCCATATAGTACATTTGGTTTCTCTCTCTCTTTGGTGCTGGAGATTGAGCCTAAGGCCTCATACATGCTAGGCAAGCACTCTACCACTGAACTACACCCCCAGCCCCACCACATCTCTTTTAACCTATTGGTTTCCCCACTCTCTTTTAACATTTCAAATGTTTTTCATAATTTACTTGTTGATGAAACGGAGCTGTTTGCCCTATAGTGTTCTGCATCCTGCATTCTGGATTTTCCTGATTGGTGGATTTTCTGGATTTCCCTTTGGTGCTGCTGAACATGTTTTTTTTTTTTTTTTTTTAATTTAAATGTAACTATTTACATTTCATGGTTAGATAGATTCCAAGTTTTTTGAATAAAAATACTTCATAGGAGGCCTTGTCTTTGTTTCCTTGAGTGTAATAAGCATCCTTATCATTTTACGGCCTTATCCCTTTGTCACCTCCCATGCAAAGTAACACTATCTGACTCATGCATTACCAGTCTCCTGCTTTCTTAAGTATAGTTTCATTACATACAAACCTATTCCTGAAAAGTATTTAACATTTATTACACTTGTTTTTTACTTTGTAAAAATGGCATTATGATGTATGCAACCTTCCTGGGCCTTTTCTCCCTTCATATCACAGTTCAGGAGTCATCAACACTGAGCACAGATCTGGAGTCCATCCATTTCTCTGCTACACAGCATTCACTGATGGTAGAAATGCCACAGATTATTCATCTGTTCTCTTGAGGCATTTGAACTTTTCCTAGGTTTTTACCTCTGTGAATGCTATGAATTCTTGCACATAGCTGTGTCACATTATCAAGGAGTGAAAAGGCAGGGGATAAGGTATGTGAATGCTAATTTCATGCGACAGTGTGGAACTGTTTTCCAAAGTGGCTGTATTAATGGACAATCCCATCATCTGTGTAAGAGAGTCTGGTGGATCCACATTCCCCCAACACTTGGTATCTTGTTATCAGATTTCAAATGTTTGCCCAATGTAACTCTATAAAATAGTATCACATTGTGTCTTAATTTGCATTCCCCCCCATCACTAAGGAAGCCGGACATCTCTTTGTATATTTATTGGCCATACATTTCCTTTCTTCCAGGGACTCTGTAAGGTGGCTGCTGCCCTTCATGTCCGACCTTCTCTACCACATGGCCTGCATTTGCTGCCTCTCCACTCAGCTCCCACTCACCCTCCAAACTTCTTCCATCTAGTGTCTGTTCAGCACTCTACACAGGACGCTTTTGAGAGTCACATCTGCATTGCTAGGTCTTCCATGTGGCCCTTCTGTCCTCAGCAGACCATCCTCCTCTGGTTTCACACCTGACTCTCTCTGGGCTTCTGTGGCAAAGTCCTGGGCTCTGCCCTGTCCTTGTCTTTCTGGTACTTACTTCTTCCACAGCCTACTCTCTCAATTCTCTCTCAGGCCTCAGTCTTGGGTCCTCTTCCTTGTCTACATGCACTTCTTAGGCAAACATGTCCAGATGGAGGCTTTCAATATAATTCCTTCTCTTGTCACTCCAAAATTTATATCTCTAATCTGGATCACACACCCGGGCTCCAGACCTGACTATCTAGCTTTGAGGGCCAAGGCTTAGTTGGACAATGCATGGCATTTTGCCAGAAGGGAGTGGTTGAGAGGTGATGCCAGGGAGCCATTGAGATGATGATGGTTATGTTAAGCTGTGTATTCAATTATATATTAGACCTTTACTGGCAGCTCAGGCTGCTACTTGGGAGTTCCCGGGTTCGAGGGAGCGAGTGCGCGCATGCGCATGCGGAGCCCGGGAGAAGAGGGAGAGTTCCCAGGGAGTGTGCATGGAGTGTGCTGGTGGAGTTCGGCCATAAAGAGTTGCTGTTTTGAACCTACAAGTGCTTCGGGGCAGCACAGTTATTTGTGCCGAGCCAGACTGCGGCATCTAGCTACCCACAAGACGGTTCTCCTGATATCCCACATCTCGGATCTAATCTGATCAGAACTGAATTCTTGATTTCCAAACCAAAACTCCTCTGAGTAAACAGCACTTCCACTAGCTAATTGTTTAAATTTAAAAAGTTGGCATTTTTCTTGATTTTCCTCTTCCCACAGGGAATCCACCTGCAGTTCTTCAGTCTAGTTTCAAAATACATTTTGAGTTCATTTCATTCTTTCTCTGACACCATCCTAAATGAAAATCACTAACTCCACCTGCCTGGACCATCAGATAACCACTAATTGCTCTTCTGGCCCTTCTTCCTGCCATCTTACAAACCATTCTCCACAATGCAGACAAAATGATCTTTTAAACATCCAAAGATCATATTCCTTCTTGGCTTAAAGCCTTCCATGGGCTTCCCATTACTCTCCAAATAAAATTCTGACTGTTCACCCTAGTTAGTGAGGCTCCTGCCCATCCTTCTAGATGACTCTCCCCACTCTTCCCTCTCACTCACCTGATACACCCCACTGACCTCTTTTCTGTACCTGGAACATCTGAGCTCTTTCTGACCTCAGGGCTTTTACACTTGTTCTGCTTAGAATGATGTTTACTTATTCCTGAGATGACTGTCTTACTCTCTCCCTTTATGTCTCATCTCAGATGTCATCTCTTCAGGAGGTCTTTTCCTCATTACCCTTTCTAAAGCAGGCCTCCAACCATCAGATAATTTGGTCACCCTGTTTATTTTCCGTATAATGTCTATAATTATCTTGTTTTTGTTTACTTACCATTGGTCTGTTTTCTACACTAGCAGGTAGGCTTTATGAAGATAGTTAGCTTGTTCAATTGTTTCCTCTGAATTTTCAGCACCTGGCACACAGTAGGTGCATAACGTTTATTGAATGAATTATGACTAAATGAATCATCCATTATACTGTGAGACTCCTGAAGGCAGAAATTATTCATACTTGTTTTCCCAGTATAGAACCTGGCAAACAGTAAGCACTTAGTATATTTTAGAATTGAATTCATTTTATTTTTTGAGATGGGTTTTCTCCATATTGCCCAGGCTAGTTTTGAACTCATGGGCTCAAGCAGTCCTCCCGCCTCCAATCTCCTGAGTAGCTGGGACTAGAAATGTGTACAGCTGCACCTGGCTACATCAACTTACCTTCCTTCTTCCCTTCCATTCTTTCTTTCTTCCTTCTTTGAGATGAGGTATCACTGTGTTGTCCAGGTTGGCCTCAAACTCTTGTTCTCAAGTCATCCTCCTACCTCAGCTTCCATAACTGGGACAACAGGCTCGTAACACCACTTCTAGAATTGAATATATTTTTAAAAATTATATAAGCAACTTAAAATTTAAAGGGGCTTAATCAACCCTCTGTATCCCTCTAATGGAACTCTGTTCATTGTACATTGCCCCATGTGTGCTGCTGCACGGTTGCATAGTTCACATATATGTTGGTGTGGCTAGTCACTGTGCACTTATGGCAGCAGAGCTGCACTAAGCATTTCTCTTTTAATTTTTGCAATAATCCTTTAAAGTAGGAATTATCAATCCACTTTACAATGAGAAAATTGAGGCTTAGAGAGGTGAAGTATCTTGTTTAAAGTCACATACTTCATAAGCGGTAATGCTTATTAACTGTAGACTGCAAGACTCTGGGGGATAGGGCTTATGTCTGACTCATCTCTGATTATCTGTCTGGTGCCAAAGAAAAGCTCTTAACTACTTTTCTATAAAATTACTGTCTCCCTATAAAATTGCTGTATCACTGGGCATTTAAGCATTGCTAATTTTTTGTTATTCATGCTTCTATGAATTTTGCTCTTTGGTAATCTCTGCATGACTGGCTCATTTTATGTGCTTCAAGTGTATTCATATTTGAAAATGATTTTCTTTAAAAATTAAGAAAATTTCTTTTTATTGGTGCATTATAATCATTCATAGTAGTAGAACTTGTTGTTACATGTGCACATAGCAGGATATAAACTCTTTTCTTTTGAAGAATGTCTGAAATAAGATTACCAGGTAAAAATAGGAGAGCATTGTTCAGGCCTCTTGATACATTATTGCCACATTATTTTTTCAGCATTTTGGACTAATATCTACTGTTACTAATTGTACCCAATTCACAATAAGCTCACAGGCATTGCATATGACCTTTTCTTGTTGTCTAATTTATCTGAAATGGCATATCTCAGTATTTGTTTTATTTTCATTTTTTTTTTTTTTTTTGGTGGCAATGGGGACTGAACCCAGTGGTACTCTACCACTAAGCCTAATCCTCAGCCCCCCCCACACCTTTTTTAAAAAATATCTTTTTAGTTATTTATTTTTAATAAGTTACTGAATTTTTTTTAGTTATAGATGAACTAAAAAAAAATTTTTATGTGGTGCTGAGGATCAAACCCAGTGCCTCATACATGTTAGGCAAGTGCTCTGCCATTGAGCCACAACCCTAGCCCCTCCTCAGTCCATTTTATTTTTACTTTGAGACAGGGTTTGGCTAAGTTGCAGTGCAAAAGAAATATGGGCAAAAGACTTTACCAGACAGTTCACAGAAGAGGAAACCAAATAGAAAATGAAAGGTGCTCACTTGTACTCTAGGACAGGAAAATTACAATTTAAATGAGATTCCATTTTTTATCAACTTGATTAGGAAATAAGAGAATGGCAATGTAAAAGCATTGGTGAGGGTATGACATAGCTGGATCTCTTAGACACTGCTAGGTGGGAGTTGGGAAATAAATTGTCATCAGATAAAGCTAACAAACATATACCTTAAGTTCCCAGGTGAATCTTGTAAAGAAACTCTTGGCATACATGTTTGAGGAYATATATCAAAGTATTCACAGAAGCAATCCCATTTTTTTTTTTTATATCGCTGAGAATCAAAAACCAAGGCCTTGTGCATGGTCAGCCAGCAATCTACAACTAAGCCACACTCTCAGCCCCAAGAGCAATCTTTATACAACAGTGGAAGCAAGTTTGTTGGCAGGGCAACCGATAAATAAATTACAGTGCATTCCATGCAGTGAATTCTTGCAATGTATTGTGAACTACGGCTGTATGTATCAATTGGATGAATTGTGGTAATGTAACTTCCAACAAGAAAAAAGCAAGTTGCAGGGATTTCAAACTATAATTTAAATTATATAAATTTCAAAAGTATGCACAACTAAATCTATTGTTTAGGGTTAGGTACAGAGTCTTGAGAAATCAAGAAACATGTGAAAATGATTAACATAAAATTGAGGATAATGGTTGTCTCTAGAGAGATTAGAGAAGGGGATATCATTAGGGAGGGCCACAAAGGGGGTTTCAAAGATACTGGAAATTTTGTATTTCTTTTAGCTGGGTGGGAAGTATATAGGTACTCATTTTTCAGTTATTTTTTACACATGATACATTATTTTTTATGAATTAACTAACAAAAATTGAGTCAGTTATTGCTTTATTAGTATTCTGATAGTCTCAGTTATTCTTTTATCACATGGTTTCTAAGGTAAAGAAAATATCTTGGGGATTTCAATTAGTTTATTTAACCTATTTATTAGATTTCTTTCGTTTTTTCCTTTCAGTACTGGGAACTGAACCCAGTGGCATTATACCACTGATCTATATCCCCATTCCTTTTTTTATTTTGAGACAGGGTGTCATTGAGTGGCTCAGGTTGACCTTGAATTTGGGATCCTCCTCCTTCATATYCTGAGTAGCTGGGATTATGGATGTGTGCCACTAGGCCTGAGGAGATTTCTCTTTTTTGCTATGCTAATTTTTTTTTTTCCCAGCTAGGAAAAGGTAGAGCTCAAGTATTTTTTTTTTTCCCCCATTGAGGTCTTATTATTTTCTTGGCCCAGGTACATCCAAGAATTTAAATTGAGTGCAAACTTCCCCTGTGGTTTTTGTGCTGAGACACTGGCTTACTTGTTAAGACTCATTGATAGCCTCTAGGAACTACCATTCCCTTTGATTTCTCAAGTGAACATATTATTTGCAATGTAATATTTTATTTCTTCATTTTCTACATACCTTTCCCCCCCAATAGTGATTGCCAGAGTTTCTCAAGATGTATAAAATAAGAATGATGATAAAAGGCTTCAGATTGGGAGTCAGAAGACATGAGATTGAGACCTGCTCTGCCATATCATAGATGAGTAACCTCAGGCCAGTTACTGAATCTGAGCCTTGCTTTTTTAGTTGGAAAATGAGGGCACTGAACTTTGCTTAGTAAGGTTGCTTTTGGTTTTGAAATGAGGCCATTTTAGTGTATTTCCATGGAGTTGGAGTTGGCTCCCTATGTACAATAGTTTCTCTTCATTGTGGGATTTTGGTTGTAGTTTTAGAGAAGCTGCAATAGGCTATTGGATACCATCTTGACGTGTTTTGGAAAAATTATCTTTACATTATAGATCTATACTTTTTGTATTATGATGAAGACAGTGGTTGACTTTGCCCATGTTGTCTTCACCTTCCACAGAGAGCAAAGCATCTGATTTCTGAAGATGATTCTTTGTATATAAGCCTGGATTTGGTTAGTTAAGGTTTCATATCAGATTTTTGCCTATAAGCTCGTGAAGGAGATTTTAAATACATRTTTTGTTCTGGCACTTGTGTGTTGCCTTTGTTCATCTCATTTTTTTCTTTTAAAATATTTCTGTACACTTTATATAATACAGGAGTTATTGATTTAATTTTTTTTTTTTTTTTTACAAGTACATGCTTCATCCAGGGCATATACCTTTTGTGGTGTTTGACCTTGTTTCTTCTATGGAACTGTTCCCATAGTGGGTCTCTGGGGGAGGCAGCTGGATCTGAGATGGCTAAGAGTTCTGCTAATTAACTCCCTCYAGAACCTGGGACAGGTCACTTCCCTCTGAGTTTTCTCTTCTATCAGCCTCACAATGGTGCCACCTACCTTCCAGATGAGATTTAAAGTTGTGATTGTCATGCTTTGTAAACAGTGAACTTCCTGTCTTTTCTCAGAGGGGCCCAGTGGCCAGTAGATTTGGCATCTTAGATTTTTACAGCGGCTTGTCTTTTTCTGCTCAAGTTATCAGACTTGTACACAGGGCTGAGATTTACAGTCTTGTTGCTACATTCTTTTGGATTATTTATTTTGCAGGTTCCTTTTTTAAAAAATGGATTTAAATAATTAAACAGGAGATTTGCATTATTTTCTGTAAAGCCTTAAAATATTGTTTCCATCTCTGTTTTTTTAAAAAATATTTTTATTTATAAATGGACACAATAACTTTATTTATTTATATGTGGTGCTGAAGACTGAACCCAGTGCATCACACGTGCTAGGCAAGTGCTTTACCACTGAGCTACAACCCCAGCCCTTTCCATCTATTTTTTATTTGGCTTCACTAATAAGAAGTGAAAGAACGCTAACTTACAACCCAAGAGTGCTTTTTCTCTTTATTATGGAAGAATCTAAAACCTATTTTCTCAGATTTTTGTGGATACTTTCATACAGCATATCCCCTRCCAAACTTTAAATGATTTTAATGATTTGGGCTAAGGGAAATCATTCAGAATAATGGATACTAATTTTAGTCATTAACAAAAAGCTTGTAAATAAGAACTTAAGGTAAATGAAGATCTGTTTGTTTCCTCTTCCTAGAACATGAGCTTTATGGACAGAGGAATGTATCTCTTTTGGTGTTGCCCCTCAGCTCCTAGATCAGAGCCTGGCATAGAGCAGGTGTTCAATATGTTTGATGAATGAATGAATTAATGAATATAGGACAGTTCTCATTCTTGCTTCTAATAATTTGTACATATTTTCTTTATAAACAGGACTAGCAGCTTATTAACTTTTTGTGAAATAAACATTATTTCTCCTTGTGGAAACTGTGACTTTTCTTTCTTAATTTTGCTCATTCCTGTCCCTGGCTAAGGCATCCAAATGCCTTTCCTGTTTTCTCCACCGGTAGGTCCTCACTACCTCCTCCTATCACCTGTGGATTGTTTCTATTCATGCCCCCTTTTTTTTCTTTTTCTTTTCCCACTCTCATCACTCATATGTATGTTACCCATCCATTCATTCCAAAATAATACTGCAACAAGCACCTACTGTATGCCAGATTGCAAGGTACACAAGAGGCGGGAAGAACAGATCTGACACTATCTCAGGCTTGAGGAATTTATCACCTGTCCAGGAAGCCAGTCTTGAGCAGCCACTTTCACAAATATTTAGTTACAAATAATGGCAAACATTATGAAGGCAAAACTTAGGGAGTATGGAATTTCAGGATAGGCTTCCCTGGAGTCTTGTTTCTTCTAGAATCTAAAGGGAAACAGGACTTGGCATATTTGGAACCTCAAGGAACATGACTGGAGGCAGTGGGTAGGGGAAGGGAAGCCCAGAGCAACAGGACAAACTGGAGAACATGGAGTGCAGCAGCAGAAGGGCCAAGGGGTCTTGGGGGGCAGTTAGGATCTGCATATGTCCATCCATTGGTTGTGACTCTTCCTGTAGGACCTGCCTGGCAGGAGCCCTACCTACACTGTGACAAACTGCCCTGATATCTTGGTTGCCTGCAAATGGTCTGTGTTAATTTCCTTTTCTGGATTTGGAAGTCATTCAAGAAAAAATTTAAAATGTATTGACATTGGAAGTTGTGCCTTTGAGCAAATCTTTAACTTCTTAGCCTGTTCCCTGAAATGGAAGTTATTGTGTTTGCCCCATGGGGTCCTTTGTGGCCTTTGTGAGGTTACCCTGTGATGGACTGGGGGAGGCCTGCATTCCTTACAGACTTGAGGAAGGATGGTCTAACCCACCTGTGTATTTTGGGTTCCTGTCACTGGATCTGATATGAAATGAGGGGATCCAAGAAACCTTTATAGAACATGGAGTTTCAGGGGGTGGGACCAGCAGATAGGCTGGAACTGAGGATGGGAGAGGGCTGTGGTGGCATGGACATAGCTGAGGTCTGGAAAGTGTCCAGGGAAGACTGAAGCACAGATTGATAACAACAATGACTAAAAAAGCAGCAATAATAACACTAACTTCTTGGGCCTCTGCCATGTGCCAGCTGCTTTTTTTTTTTTTTTGGTTTATTTGTTTGGTACTGAGGACTGAACCAAGGGGTGCTTTATCACTAAGCTATATCCCCAGCCCTTTTTATTTTTTGAGACAGGGTCTTGCTAAATTGCTAATTCTGGTCTTGAACTTGTGATCCCCTTGCCTCAGCCTCCTGAGTAGCTAGGGTTATGGGTGTGTATCATTATGTCAGACACAAACCACTGTTTTAAATGCTTTACATATGCTAATTAATTTATCCTTTGAGTAGCCTATAGAGTAGGTACTATTTATTATTCTCATTTTACAAATAAGGAAACTGAGGCACAGAGAGATTAAGTACCTTGCCCAAAGTCACACAGCTAGCAAGCACTGGAACCTGGATTTGAGACCAGGTATTGTGGCTTCCAGTATAAGAATCAACCAATACAGAGAGGTGGTTAGAGCCTTAAATGCCAGGCTAGGAGGCTTATCCAGTCATCACCCTGTTGACTACAGGAGCCATGTAAGACTTTTGAGGGAGGAAGTGTTAAGGGTGTTGAATGGCCAGAAGAGTTGATAGGGCTCTTTTTCTCTTCTGCAGAAACCATCCACGGAGCAGCCCTTGTACAGCAGCAGCCTGTGGGGCCCAGCTGATGTCCGAGACTGTGTGGCTGAAGGCCTGTGGCTGCCGCAACTACATGTAGGGGACTGGCTGGTCTTCGACAACATGGGAGCCTACACAGTGGGCACAGGGTCCCTCCTTGGAGGGACTCAGGCCTGCCGCATCACCTACGCCATGTCCCGGGTAGCCTGGTAAGGGGCCCCTGCTGTGAAGAGGAGAGGTGGGAGGCAAGCTGGGATGAAGAAATAAGGGAAGCTGAGATCTGAGACCCTCTCCCATGTAACCTAGTTTGACAAGTAGCTGCTGGTGGCTGACTCAGCTGAGGCCTGTGTTGGGCATGTGGCTGTGGCTACAGAGGAGCTCCCCAAGGAGCTCACAGCCCCAGAGGATGCAGGGGCATAGACACGTCCTCAAGATGGCACTGCTGGGTGGGAGGTAGTGGGCAAGAGGTAGAAGGAGGTGTGCAGGAGTTCCTGGGAAGGGAACGTGGTACAAGTGTGGTGCATCCAAGGTACCACTCAAGGCACTAATGGAGGTTGGTTGTGACTGGAGAGGGAGGCAGGGCTAGATCTGGGAAGGCACTGAAGGTTGAACAAAGGACTTAAGAGTAACAGGAAGCAAGGACCTGTTTGAAGCAGGGGTAGACATTGTCTGATTTGCATTTTGTAAAGACCCCCCAACTACCTTAAGGAGGCAGAGGCAGACAAGTGACCAGCTGGATGGCAGCTGTCATACCTGGGCTAAGTCTCAGTCTTATTTAGAAAAAAGGCACAGCACCAGCCCTGCCTGCTGCCTCAGGTAGTGCTGGGGTCTAGTGAGGCAAGAGGTGTGTGACATGGAGAGTCAGGCCTGCTGAGCCCTGAGCGCACAGCTTACCTTGGACATCTACTGTTATTTCCTTTTACTCACAACTCTGGGGATCAGTGTTATCACTGGGAGAGTCACTTGCCTGATGTCATACAGCTGGGCAGTGGGAAGGGTCCCTGCTATGGGAGGGAAAAGGCTACAGAGGGCAGGGCAGTTGGGAGGGGCTTTTTTCCCCTGGGCTTTCAGATGAGTGTGGCCCATGTTCCCAGGCCCCCAGGAAACCACCAAACCCCAGACCTAATTTGGCATCAGGAGAGTCGTATTTCATTCATGCATTCTACAAACCTTTGTTGTTTTTGCTGTGAGGGCACAGGATAGGCTTTTGTGGTGATTTTGCCACCTGGGGCATTCTGACAAGGTCTAAAGACAAACTTCAAGAACAATCACCCCACAGACTTAGTATTCCCTCCCTGGCTCTGTCATCAGTAGCTRCAGGTGGAGGAGGTCACATAGAGTTGGCTGAACTCATTACTAGGAACAAAAAATGCTGACGAACTGAATGGACATGCCAAGAAATCCCCTGTAGAAGAGTGGCCTCAGCAGAATGCTTTGCTTCACCACCTGCTCTGTGCTAGGTCCTGGGAGTACAGGAGCACTGAAGAAGCCAGGGTGCAGATCTACACACAGAGATGCTGACACAGAGTGAAAAGGCCACTGAGGAGGGAGGGATGGTGAAGGAGCGTGGTTAGGACAGCTTCTTAGAAGGTGTCAGCCAGGTCCAGGAGGCCAAAACAGGCCAAAGGGATGGCCAAGAGGCCTGAAAGGTCTTATTTGGTCACAAAATTGTAAGTAGCTCTCCACATGCAAGGAGTGGCATGTGGGGAAGACTGGATCTAAAAGGACCTTGAAACAATAAAAAAAAGTGGGAAATAAAAGGACCTTGGAGGTCTAGACTGGACTTGGTCTTAAAGGCAGTAGGGAGCCATTGAAAGATTTTAAGAAACTGGACCAACCCATTTTTAAAGATAAGGAGACAGAGGCTCAGTCAGAGGGTACTTAGCCCAGAGCCTTCCTCAAGTAAGGGGCCAGCATCAGTGGGCTTTGGAGACACCAACTCCTGATTTGCTACTGACTTGTATGACTCAGCACAGAGGGAGCTCTTCCTGCAGGTGAGGGTCTGGAATGTGCTAAAAGTATGAAAGAACAGAAGAGGGAAGGTCTTGTGGAGAAGCAGAACCCAGAACAAGTAAGGACAARTGGCATGGCCCCTCCAGGTCCATGGATACTGAGCCCAGTGCTCTCCCCACCCAGTGTCCAGACAGCTCCACACCTTCCTGCCCATGAGTACTTGCTAGCTTGTTACAGGGGCACCAGCAGGGAGTAACACAGACGTTTCCTTGTCCTGCTGTAAATGGAGAAATGTCAGGGTCACAGATATTGAAGCCTTATTGATATCAAGGAGAGAGATCCTGAGTGTAGGACTCTGCTGTGTCCTGCTCTTCTGAAGCTCTGTCACTGAAGCCAAGACAAATAGGCCAAGGAGGAATTGGTCAGGGGAGGGTTGATGATGTAGGCAGGATGATAAGCATGGGCACAGGCCTGGGAAGGGACATGTGAGAGCCTGAGAAGTGGCTAATGTGATGGCCTCTGGCGGTGTGGAAAAGCAGGGCTGTAAGCATGGAGAGGGAGGCAGGCAGGGCTGACCCAGGGCCTGAAAGTGAAGGGAAGTTACCGGGGGCTCAAGAGGAGGGTTTGACTTTTAGAAAGATGGGCCTAGGCCAGTGCTGAACTGTCTGGAGTGGGTGAGAGCAGGAGAACAGGTCAGGGAGATGTGTGGTCCTGTTGTGGTCCTAGGAGAGGTGATGTCAGTGGGATGGAGACAAGTGGGTGGTTCAGGAGCTGGGCTGGGTGCAGCTTGACTGTGTTGGGACAAGATTCCCAGCTGTAGCCAGAGCAGTGGCTCAGGTGATGGAACTTTAGTCACGTGGGTGCAGAGGAGGAGAAATAGCTTGTGGGACTGTGTGAGGGGAGCAGGGAATGAGTTATTTTTAAGACCCAAGCCTTGGTATGAAGACTGTGGGCTCTAGAGTGAGAGAGCTGGGTTCAACCTAGTCCTACCACCCACAAGGGATGTGGTCTTGGGCAGGCCACTCCTCAGAGTCTGTTTCCTCATCAGTAAGATAGGGTGGTAAAGGCTGTTCATAGTGTTTGGAGGAGGATAAAATTAGACGATGAAAGTAAAGTGCCTGGGGCCATGTCTGACACACAGTAAGTGCTCAACGATCATCCTATGGGTTCCTTTCTCTTCTTGGGCAGTGGGGACGGCAGTGGAGAAGAGCCCTTGCCCCTGCCCTTGGCTTGGCTTAGGGTTCAGGTGAGAGCTTTATGCCTAAGGGGCCAGAGAATCCGATACAGGGGCCATCAGGAGCCCCTAGGCTTCGGGACCTGCTAGCTACCTCCAGCACCCCTTTCTCACCCTCAGGGAAGCGCTGCGAAGGCAGCTGCTGCCTGCGGAACAAGACGAAGATGCTGAAGGCATGTGCAAGCCTCTGTCCTGTGGCTGGGAGATCACAGACACCTTGTGTGTGGGCCCTGTCTTCACCCCAGCGAGCATCATGTGAGCGGGCCCTGTCCCCCCCCTCCAGAGAACCCCAGCGGGGCGGCAGAGATGTCTCTGGGAGAGGTGGGGAAGGCGGCAAGCAGGGCACCCTCTGGCCAGGACTCTGGTGCTCGCTTTGCTGCCCCCACACTCCACCTGTAGTGTTTCTGCCCTGTAAATAGGACCAGTCTTACACTCACTGTAGTTCAAGTATGCAACATAAATCCTGTCCCTTCCAGATGTGTCCGCCTCCTCTGCAGCGCAAGCGGCCTGGTCAGCCAGGCGTGGGGTGTTCTTGGGGTCTCCCTCGGTATCCTTCCTCCTTTGTAAATATGAAGCAAATAAATATTTAGGTTTTTAATACTCCAGTGGAGTCTAGCAGTTCAATTCAGAAAGAAGACTGGGCTGGGCCTAGGGAGAGACCTCCCTGCCCTGATGAGCCCATGTCCACTTCAGTCCTGACCACACTCTTGAGCCCTCGCTGAAATGTGGACATCACCCATTGGCATCCACTCTCTCTCTAACTCATCTGTGTTCTCTGAGGCTGCCACACTTGGTGCGATAAGGAAGGGTGTGCTGTGAGGTTTGAGGTGCATGGTCAGAACTGCCTCCCTTCATGAGTTCATGACAGGCCAGTGGCCTCTGTGTGAACCTGACAACTAGTCTAAGGCCTGGCCCAGAGAAGCGACAACTTAGTATTTGATACAGCACTGGAAACTCATAGGAAAGATAAAGAGTAAAGGGAAGAGTGTCCAGGAGGTTATTGCTTTTGAAGTTCCAGGGGTTGAAACCAGCGTCTCCCACTTTCTAGACAAGTATTCTGCCACTAGGCTACATTCCAGGCCCCGCATTTCCCCCTCAAGAGGTCTACAACATATTTGTGTTGCTCTAACTGCCTCGCCAACCAGTGAGAGAGTGAGGTTGCTGTGTGGTTGGCTTTGCTCATTCAGGCAGTACTGTTACGACAAGGCTGGCTACAGAGTCCTGCTGTGTCCAATGCCAACATCCCTGACAGCTCCTCAGACTGGCAGTTTTTTTACCAGGACAAATGTTCTTCATGCTGCCAGGGTCCCAAGCTATGAGCCTGAGGTATATGAGCTGCTTAGCAAAAGAGTTCAAAATTTAGATTTCTCCCAGCTGCTATTGGTAACCCTAAAGATTTTTCTTCTTAAAAAAATTGAGATATAATTTATATGCCATAAAATTCACTTTTTTCTTTCATAGTACTGAGGACTGAATCCAAGGATGCCCTACCACTGAGTCACAYCCTCAGCCCTATTTATTTATTTATTTATTTATTTTTAAATTTTGAGACAGGGCCTCACTAAGTTGCCAAGGCTGGCCTTGAACTTAGGATTTTCCTACCTCAGCCTCCCAAGTCACTGGGATTGTAGGTGTGTGCCACTGCACCTGGCTAAAATTCTGTTGATCAGTGTTCAGTACATTTACAGAGTTCTGCAATGCTCACACTATCAACTCTAGAATATACTCATCTCCCCCAATAAAAGCCCCCTGCCCATCAGCAGTCACTCCCATCTTCCCTTCCTCCACCCCTTGGCAACTCTAATCCACTTTCCAGCTCTATGGATTTGCCTGTTCTGGAAGTTTCACTAGGATGGTTTTCATATCCTTACTTGAGCTCCTTTTAGGGGTAAGCTGCTATCCTGCCTCAGTATCTTAGTCAATCTTGGGGCCTTCACATGGCTGTGAGGTCATCCACTGAAGCAATGTGCCTCGTGTTTGGAATGAACTATGTGCTTGCTAGAAGCACAGGTATCTCCTTTTTCTAGGCTAGGCCTACTTTTTGCACTTTGATAATGAATAGGCTGAGAACTCTGGATGGAGAGACTCAGAGGGCAATCTCAAGTGGTTACTTCCTTGCCCCTTTGGAGGTCACCCAAAGTCATGCTTTACAGACATTCATACTGTGGAACTACTGACCCTCCGTCTATGAGACTATTTCTGAGACTTCCTTTATTTCAGATGTCTAGGCAGATCTGGACCCCCTCCTGCTTCTCTTTTGGTGTAGCGGATGGCAAATGCAAGTTTTTCTTCTGGAACTGGCATCTGCTGCCAGAGGTGGCAGAGGCTCTGGGAGATGTGGCTGGCAGTGCTGAAGGCCAGGCATCATGCATTACCTCACCAGAGCCAGGTCCACTGGGGCGGGCTCTCTGGGGCGCTTGAATTGACAGCAGCTGGCATGGAGCCTGAACACATATCTCAGCTGGAGCCCTTCTCGTAGTTCATATTCTCTTTGCTGTGAGAACATGGGATTTACCTTTCTGAGACAGACACAACCTTGATGAGAGTTACTTGAGAATAATTGCTAACCATCATTTCTTTTCAGTTATTTTTTTTCCTTATTTCTATCTTTTTCTGAAGAAAAAGAAAAAAAAGTATTAAATGTGAAGAATGGTAAAGGCTTCAGGCCTGTGTGTGTGTGTGCGCGTGCGTGCGTGCACGCAGAAGATTTCACCAGAGGTCTCCCGGAGCCCTGGCTGCATAGGCATTTATCCCCTTGGAGCTCCCTGCTAAGTTGTCTGTTGGCAGAGGCCCTGAGACCCATCTGCTTTGGGACTTCAAGAGGGACATCCTCCTCCCAACACTGCCTACACCTGCCTGCATCACACCTCTGAAGCTCCTGTGTGTTCACTCACTCTGGGAGGTCAACAGACCCAACAGCTACAGATAGACCCCCACCCTCTCCCTCTCAGGTGAGTCCCCTCCTCTCTTGCACAGGCCACCCTCACTCAGCAGCTAAATCCTGTTACTCCATTTCACCCACAATAACACTTAAAGTTCAACAACGACCTCTGACTCCCACTCCTCCCTGCCCCACTGGTCCTGATCACACCAGTCTCCTCTCCATTTCTCAAACATCCCACTGCTGGGCCTGCATTTACGCTCTCCTTTCTCTATAATGATCCTTCCTGTGGGAACTGCTTGCTTCATTCAGGTTCTGCTCAAAAGTTTCCTTTTATATAAAGCCTTTCAGAATCACCCTTTAGAAAACAGTACTTCCCAGTTTCTTTCCCCTTAACTGGTTTTCTTTTTCTTTGCAGCATTTATCACCACTTGACATACTTCACAGCATGTTTGTGTGGGTATCATCAGCCCCTGTAGGATGTGAGCTCCTTGGCAGCAGGAACCAAATTTATTTTTTCATTGCTTTGTCCTTATCACCCAGTACAGAGCAAATGCTCAGAAATATATGCCAAATCAACAACAGGTCCTAACCGGTCTGAATCTATTAACTCATTTGTAAAACATGACTGCTGAATATGTTGACCTCAGAGTTATTGTGAGGATTAAATAAGAAAATGGATATGCTAAGGCCTATCATATCCTTAGGTACACAATAAATGGCATTGGAAGGTAATTTCTTAGGCATTTATTGAGTACTTACTGGGGCCTTGTGGTTGATACTGTGATGCAGAGTTGAGTCCCTCAGTCCTCAAGGAGCTCAATGCAGAAGACTCATTGAGGGCCTTGAAAGAGTAAGCCAATTCTTAAGTAGGAAGCCTTGTATGCTTCTGAAACACAAGCATGACAGGACCTTTGGGAAGATAAATGAAAGAGTATCAAAAGGTATAGGGACAGAAGAAATGATGGACTGGTGTTAGCACATACCTCCTTAACCCTGCACCCTGCCCCCACCCTGGGAAAGGCAGGCTTAGCCCATGGGGACAGAGGGAGATAGGTTGTCATCTCTGTCTGCCCCTGCTCAGGAGGGACACACAAATAGGTTATCTCTCCATGGGAGCCATTTTCCCCACCCTACTTCCTGGAAACTCTGTCCATGCCAGCCCTTCCAGTTGTAAAGTGACCACAGGAGAGGCAATAGCATGGGGGTTTTATCCTCCCTTTGCTGCATTTTAAGTCCTTTCTGGCATCTATGAGATGAGCAGCTAAAGCCCTATAAGATGATTTGTTCTGACCTCTTGGTGGTCCAAGGGTCTTTGTGAAAAATAAATTCAATCTTGGTAGTCCTCTTCTGAAAAACCTTTCAGCTGATTCCCACAGGGATGCCAATAAAAGCTGAATTGCCAGAGACCCTTGTCTACATTACTGACTTCATCTCATGCCCCTTTCTCACATTTCAGTTCCTTAGTGTTTTTGACTAGTCTTTTAAACTAGCTCAGAGGATGGAGGATACCCCTGAATTCCAAGGAGGGGCATCTTGCCCCTTCTGCTTAGCTCCTGAGTGGCCCTAGAACGTGCAGTGACCATTGGAAGGAGCTGGGGGGTGAGGGGAGCTGAAAATAACTTCAGGGTAATTATTGGGAAGAACCCAGCTCCACACTTGATGAGACCTAAGCCGGGGGACATACATAGGCATACAGGATACCTCAATGGCTACCCTAGGTGACCCTGGGTAGGACCACCCGATAAAATTCTGAACACTCAGCTAAATTTGAATTCAGATATACGACGGGTGGTTTTTAAGTATGTGTATGTTCCATGTGATACTTGAGGTATTCTTATGATAAGGCATTACTCGTCGTTTATTTGAAATTCAACTTTAACTGGGAGTCCTGCATTTTATTTGCTAAATCTAGTAACTTTGCCCTGGAAAGTTCCTTATGCCGGACGTCCCTCTCGGGCTTTCCTTTCTCCCATTTGTGGAATGGGGACATTTCTGCGAGATCAGCCTCGGGAACTCCTCAAGGGGAAACGCTATCCACGCCCACCTCAGGGATAGTCCTCCGCTCAGAGGAGTCATGTGGAAAGCGCGCTGGTCTCGGGAGTTTCTTGCTGAGTGAATATGAGAAACCCCTTCCTCTAGGACCCTCATCTTTCTCGTTTGAACATTAAGGCTGTCGGGAAGAAACGAAACTCTTCTCTACAGCCTACCGGAACCGTGATTATAAGGCTCCTAGACACCGGAACTCACCAGCCCAGTCGGTCAAACTCGTGCATTTCCGGTGCATGACATCACTTCCGTACCCAACAGTTTCCCAGTCTTCGCGCTACGCACTCTTGCGCCCTCTATTGGCCGGGAGGAGGGACMGACTTTACCATACTGAAAGGGGAAAAAAAAAAAAAAAACAGAGGAAGCTATTGGTTGAAAGATGGAGGAAACGCAGCTCTGATTCGCAAACTCCACCAATGGAAAACCGAACCTTCACTCAAGGAGGGGCTCCCACGGGAAACAGGTCAACCCGGGTCTGGGATGGCGTGGGAAAGGGTGTCCTGGTCTCTGCCGGGTTTGAAAGGCCGGGAATAGTTCCGGAAGTGGGCTCTGGCCCACTGGCTATTTCCGCTTCTACGTGGAGTAGGGATCTCCTGGAGGAAGGGCACCCAGAAGCGGTGCGGAGTAAGGGGGCTCGTCTCTGGTGGCCTCATCTCCTCCCCTTTCATGCTGGAGGGAAGACGCTTGCTGAGTCCACGCGGAAAACCCGGGGCTTTGTCGTATTTCTTGATTTCAGGCTGAGATGTTCAGCATTTTAAGACAATCAAGAATGCCTGTCTACCATGCCCGGTCCTCGCCCTGGACTCGCATTATTTCCCAGCCGATCGCGGAGTGGATTTTATGACAGGAACTCTTGACTTCTAAGTGCCGGTGTTGAAATCCTAGTTCTGCCAGTTCTTAACTGTGCCACAGTTTCCGAGTGTAAAATGGATAACAGTATCAGCCTTTCACCATAATGTAAAGATTGAATACATTAACATATTGAAAACACCAAGAACAGGACCTGGCTCATGGTGATCATCGGTAGGTAACCACCTAARTTGCCAGTCAGGAAATTGAGGCTTAGATGTGTAGTAATTTGCCGATAGTAACCAGTGGAACAGGTTGGGAAGCGACTTTGCAGTTACTATTCCCATCCAGCTCTCTTCCTGTCCTTGGAAGAAGCATGTGGTGATTACAGTTTCCTTTATAGCAGCATATGCATTTTATTTAATAGCACTTTAACACCAAATGGTTGCTCTCTGGGCATTTTAATAACTCGGATGGAGTTGGTGAGTTTCAATAGCATGTGCCCCTGACCAAGGGCCAGATTTCACGAGGAAGAATGGATGATTCTCAAGGTTTATTTCCTGCTAAAGCCCATTCATAGAAAAATCAGTAGAAATAAACTTTGGGACATGTTAAATTTGAGCTCTATGAGATGTGCAAATGAGATAATAGCATAAGTGTTATGTTAGAGGAAGACACAGGGTGCCAAATGAGATTTGATCAGGGAGCCTGTCAGCTGTTTAGGGCAGACTTGGCAGAAACAGTGGGTCTTGGTGGATGAGTAGGAGTTGACCAGATAGAAAAGCTGAGAGACTGAGAGGAGCCTTTCAGACCAGGGGAATAGTGTGTACAAAGGAATAGTGGTGAATATTTCATGAAGAAGAAGCAAAAACAAAAAGAAAGCAAAGGGAGGAACTATACTAGAAGAATAGCCAATCAAAGGAGAAACTAATTCAAATTAAAAATCAAATAAATCAAACTGACAGGAAATAAAAATCATTTCTCAATAATAATATTGAATATAAATGGCCTAAACTCATCAATCAAGAGACACAGACTGCCAGGTRCCATGGCACTCACCTGTAATCCMAGTGGCTCCTGAGGCTGAGATAGGAGGATTATGAGTTCAAAGCCAGCCTCAGCAGCAGTAAGGCACTAAGCAACTCAGTGAAACCATGTCTCTAAGTAAAATACAAAATAGGGCTGGGTATGTGGCTCAGTAGTTGAATGCCCCTGAGTTCAATCCCTGGTACCCCACTGCCTGCCCCACCCCCCAACAAAAGGGAGAGACAGACAGACATACTGGCAGACTGAATTAAAAAGTAAGACCCAACAATATGCTGTCTCCTAGAGATTCACCTCATAGGCAAAGACACCCTCAGACTGACGGTAAAAGAATGGGAAAAAACATCGCTCACATGGGTCCTATAAATAAGCAGGGGTTTCTATCCTCCTATCAGATAAAGTGGACTTCAAGCCAAAGTTAATCAGAGGGACAAAGAAGGACACTTCATACTGCTTATGGGAATCATACACCAACTAGATGTAACAATTGTAAATATTTGTGCCCCAAACAATGAAGCATTTACATACATCACAATTGAGTCTCAATTTTAAGAATCAAATAGACCATACACAATACTACTGCAAGACTTGAATACACTTCTTCCACCACTGGATAGATTCTCCAAATAAAAACTAATCAAAACGCTATAGAACTAAAAAAATACAAATAATTATTTTGATTTAACAGACATATAGAATATTTCACTCACCAATGACTGAATTTGCTTTTTTCTCAGCAGCATATGGAGCCTTCTCTAAATTAGACCATATCTTAGACCACAAAGCAACTCTTAGCAAATACAAAAAAATAGAGATAAAATGCCTTGCATTCTATCAGATCATAATGGAATGAAATTAGAAATCAACAATAAAAAATACAAGCTACTGTAATTCCTGGAGATGAAATAAAATGCTATTGAATGACCAGTGGATAGCAGAAATTTCAGGGATGAAGTGAAAAAATACTTAGAGGTAGATGAGAATAGTAATACAACATATCAAAGGGACACTAAGAAGGCAGTTCTGAGAAGCAAATTCATTAAGCTTATTCATTAAAAGTTAGAAAGTCACCAAATAAATAACCTAAGATGACATCTCAAAGTCCTAGTAAAAGAAGAGCAAAGCAACACCAAAGCATTAGAAGACAGGAAATAATTAAAATCAGAGCTGAAATCAATGAAAATGAAACAAAAGAAAATGATGAAACAAAAAATTGGTTCTTTGAAAAAATAAATACAATTTATAAACACTTAGCCAAGCTAATGAAGAGAAAACTCAAACCACTAAAATTCATTATGAAAAAGGAAATTTCATGACAGACACTACTGAAATACAGACCATAATCAAACTATTTTTGAAAATTTACACTCTAATAAAATAGAAAATCTTGAAGATATCAACAAATTTCTGGAGACATGTGACCTACCCAAATTGAATCAGGAGAACATAGAAAATGTAAACGATTGGGCTGGGGCTGTAGCTCCGCTGCAGGATGCTTGCCTAGCACGCATGAGGTATTGGGTTTGATCCTCAGCACCACATAAAAATAAATAAAATAAAGGCATTCTGTTTACCTACAACTAAAAAAAAAGAAAGAAAGAAAGAAAATTTAAATGATCAATTTCAAGCAGAGCAATGGAAGACACCATCAAAAGCCTACCAAGGAAAAGCCCAGGAACAGAAGGATTCTAAACCAAGTTCTACCAGACCTTCAAGTTCTACCTTATGTATACTAACATCAAACCTCCTCAAATTATTCCATGAAACAGAAAGGAAGCCTTCAACACACATTCTATGAAGCTAGTATCATCCTGATACCAAAAACCGATAAAGACACATCAAGGAAAGAAAATTTGAGACCAATATCTCTGATGAACATAAATAAATCAATAAAATACTGGCAAGTCCCATATAAAACATATCAAAAAGATAGTATGCTATGATCAAGTGGGCTTCACYCCAGGKATGCAAGATTTGTTCAATACCAATAAATGTAATTCATCACATCAATAGACTTAAATACAAGAATCACATGATTATCTCAATAGATGCAGAAGAAGTATTTGACAAAATACAGCATCCATTCATGTTCAAAACACTAGAAAAACTAGAGATAGTAGGAAYAAACTTCAACATTGTAARAACTATATATGTTAAACCCAAGGCCAACATTATTCTAAATGGAAAAAAATTGAAAGCATTTCCTCTAAAAACTGTAAGAAGACAAGGATGCCCTCTTTTACCACTTCTATTCAAAATCACCCTTGAAACTCCTGCCAGAGTAATTAGAACTCAAACTATCCCTATTTGCTGATGACATTATTCTACATTTAGAAGACCCAAAAAACTCCACCAGAAAATTTCTAAAACGCATAAATGAATTCAGAAAAGTAGCAGGGTATAAAATTAATACCCATAAATCAATTGCATTTTTATTCATCATTCCTGAATCAACTGAAAGAGAAATTAGGAAAACTATCTCATTCACAATAGCCTCGAAAAAAATATTTCTAAAGAAATATGACCTAAGAAAGAAACACCAAAGAAAAAAATTGAAGAGTACCTTAGAAAATGGAAAGATCTCCCATGTTTTTGGATAGGCAGAATAAATATTGTCAAAATGGCCATACTACCAAAAGCACTATACAGGTTTGATGTAATTCCTATTAAAATTCCAATGAGAGCTGGGGTTGTGGCTCAGCGGTAGAGCACTTGCCTAGCATGTATGAGGCCCTGGGTTCAATCCTCAGCACCATATAAAAATAAGTAAATAAAGGTATTGTGTCCAACTACAAAAAAAATATTAAAAAAATTCCAATGACATTCTTCCTAGAAATGGAAAATTCAGTCATGGAATTCATTTGGAAAAATATGAGGCCCCAAAGAGCCAAATCAATCCTCAGCAAGAAAAATTAAGCAGGAGACTTCACAATACCAGAACTTGTTATAATACAGAGCTTTAGTAACAAAAATGGCAAGGTGTTGGAACCAAAACAGACATGTAGACCATGATATAGAATAGAAAACACAGAGACAAACTCATATAAATACTGTTAACTCATACTAGACAAAGGCACCATAAACATACATTGGAGAAAAGATATCCTCTTCAACAAATGGTGCTGGGAAAACTGGAAATCCATATGTAGCAAAATGAAATTAAACCTTTATYGCTTATCCTGCACAAAACTCAAAGTGGATCAAGGACCTACACATTAGACAAGAGAGACCTTATGCCTACTAGAAGAAAAAGTTGGCCCAGATCTCTATCATGTCAGCTTAGGAATTGAATTCCTCAACAAGACTTCC